CCCTCTCCGTCGCCAGCATTTCCGAGAAAATTTTTTACATGCCTTTTTTATTCGAAAAGTGCCCCTCAAAGCGTGGCCACCCCAACATTAGAAGCTTCCTTTTCCCTCGCACATGAATGTGACAAATTGGGAAAATAAGTTTTAGCTATAGCTTGCGTTAAGGCGGTTTTCCACTAGGCGAATTTTTCGATCGAACCGAAATTTCTATTGTTCAAATTCAAAAGATTTCTGATTAGTTCCATCTGAGTGCTTGTAAGACAAAAGAAAATTTCGATTCGGTCGAAAATTGTCGCCTAGTGGAAAACCACCTTAATACTTGGCTGTAAATTGCCAAACAAGCCATATTACGCATTGAATACAGTATCGCTATACCAAGCAATATGACGTAACTTTGCAGCTTTTCACTAATTATAATATATCCCTCCTTATGTGCATAATTGTGTTTTGCCACCGATCTGCTGCTGCTGCTGTTTTACGAAGTATTGCGAAGCAGACAACACAGAGTAGGCAAAACAAATTCTCGCTAAAAACTTTACTACTTGTGTTGCACATAATTGTACGAACAGATGGGATACTTTTCCAATATTTCAGTTGCTGTATTTCAAATTGCTGAACTGAGATTATATTAAAATAAATAATTATAATCGGCAACGTGCAAAAATACCTGAGCCGGTAAACAGCGTCCCTAAAATTTATGCCCATAATAACGTCCTGTATACTATTACTTAGCAGCATAACCTCCAGTCCTGTTGCTGCAGTTTACAGTGACAATTAACATCAATTAAATGTATTAGAAGTTCAGGAGCATATTTTGAATATGAATGCATGATAGTTTTTTAAACTATTTGTCTCCAACGCTACCACATGTCCTTCGATAACTCAGTTGGTAGAGCGGGGGACTGTAGTTGTTCGCAGCAATAATCCCTGGGACACTGGTTCGAATCCGGTTCGAAGGATTCTAAACTTTTAGATGTGTTGATAGAAAGCTAAAAAAGCTTCCTCTTTCTTACGTGAACTTGAGCTACTACATCGAATCTGGAGTAAGTGTCCAATGGTTCAACCATTTCTTAAAGTAGAACTGAAGATGACAGAGAAGTACTAATTGATTAAATGATTACCGACTGAAAAAAAACACATGCGCAATAAGAGAGTGAATAGTTTTACACCTGAACTGGCTTGTGTGCTTGCCGATTTTAAGGGGTTATGCAGGTAGAGACGCAGGCTCCGAGTATTCCTGCCTGGCAAACTATTCGACGAACACTATATTTCCGGTTATCAATTGATGTTATAGTACATTGTGTGAGCATGCAAGAGGAATTTAAATAATCTTCAAGCTACTTCAGCTGCATGTAAGTCATATATCACTAACATAACAGCAAATATACCTATAAATCGCAATCGTGACGCTGGCCTCTAGGCACATGCCCAAATTTGGTATACGTCACGCAAGAGAAATATCATATGTTCGTAAAGCATCAAAACCGAACGTCAACAATCCTCGGTAGTATAGTGGTGAGTATCCCCGCCTGTCACGCGGGAGTCCCGGTTTCGATTCCCAGCCGGGGAGCAGCATGCTTTGTTACTATTATTCTTTTTACGTATCCTTCTCACAATCAGAACAATTGAAGTAATTTTTTTCTAGTTTAGACGATTAATTTGTGAAAGACACTTGATTTGCACATGGAAAAGGGTACAGTCGCTTCTTAATCATGACAGTGCCTGTGCCAAATTGCGAAAATACGTTATATTGGGGAGCAATTGGCAAACAGTGGATTACGTAATATTTTGATGCAATTGCCAAACATGTAAAGCAACGTAACATAATGAACGTAATGTATTACGCAATGTTACGTAACTTTTAGTCGAGCTTTTCATTATTTGGCTTTCATAATCGTGAGTCCCACAAGCGCGGCGTTGACAAACTGTAATTTATTTAAATAATAGATAAAACTGGCACACATCAAGGTCCGGATTGGAGAGGTTATCCTAAACATTGAGCTATTAACCCCTCTTCAGCTAACTATACCTCATTTTTCTTCCTTAAAAATATTTTTTATTAATGCAATAGATTATATCATAGACATAGCGGTTTTAAATGGGTGCAAGTCCCGTATAACGTTCTAATTCTATCAGCATCTATCGCTACACAAAAATAAAAGTCATATGGGCACTATGTCACTACTATAGATATCTGTATATATGTATAATATAGAAAGTAAACATACCAAACATAGAGACATGGGAACATGCAGGCGATGGTTATGTTGGGATAGAAGCGTTGCGGACTGCGCATGCAGAAGAAAAAGGCTCTCTCCTGCACCACCCCCATAGTAAAACTGCAACCCTACTTGCAGACAAAGCTAGATCCGCCATGTAATGTCAGCTATAAGTAAATATTTATTTCAATTGGGCTGTTATAGTAATTCTCGATAGTAGGTAGTACGTAGATAGTGACGAGTAATCCCGTCTGCATGTCAAGCTGGGATAACTATTTCCACGCACACTAATTCTGAGAGCAAGGATAATCTTAGTTACGATCTTTGCTTTCCTTATTTAAGCTGTATTATTCGTTTATTGATAATTAAGGAATCTACGCGGTAAAATGAAGACTGCATCTTACATTTAATTATTACTGGATTGATCAAATGTCATTTGTTCAGTGGTGAAACACTAAATGCAAACGTTTGTAGTCCTCGGTAGTATAGTGGTGAGTATCCCCGCCTGTCACGCGGGAGACCGGGGTTCGATTCCCCGCCGAGGAGGAATGCATGTGTTTTTTACTACTATTCTCTTTTCCACTCTTTTCTCGCAGTTAGAACAAACAAATATAATCCTTTTTCAAGTTTAACTAATTAATTTTAGTAGATTCCTAATTTGCACAGCGAAAACTAGCCTTCTCTTCAGTCATGGCAGTGCACATGCCTGTGACAAATCGGGAAAAATAGTTATATTGCTACAGCTTGCGTAATACTTGGCTGTAACTTTCCAAACAAGTCATACTACGCATTGAATACAATATCGCTATATATACCAAGCAGTATTAAGTAACTTTGCAGCTTTTGACTAATTATAATATATCCCTTATGCATACATAATTATTGTGGTTTCCACCGATCTGTTGCTGCTGTTTTACTAAGTGTTGCAAAGCAGACAGACACAGAGTAGACTTTACTACTTGTGTTGCACATAATTGTGGGAACAGATGGGATACTTTTCCAATATTTCAGTTGCTGTACAACAAATTGCTCAACTGAGTTTATTTTAAAATAAATAATTATAATCGGCAACGTGCAAAAATATCTGAACCGGTAAACAGCGTTTTTAAAATTTATGCCCATAATAACGTCCTGTATACTATTACTAAGCAGAATAACCTCCAGTCCTGTTGCTGCAGTTTACAGTGACAACTAACATCAATTAAATGTATTAGAAGTTCAGGAGCATATTTTGAATATGAATGTATGGTAGTTTTTTAAACTATTTGTCTCCAACGCTACCACATGTCCTTCGATAGCTCAGTTGGTAGAGCGGGGGACTGTAGTTGTTCGCAGCAATAATCCCTAGGTCACTGGTTCGAATCCGGTTTGAAGGATTCTAAACTTTTAGATGTGTTGATAAAAAGCTTCCTCTTTCTTAAGTGAACTTGAGCTACTACATCGAATCTGGAGTAAGTGTCCAATGGTTCAACCATTTCTTAAAGTAGAACTGAAGATTACAGAGAAGTACTAATTGATGAAATTATTACTGAAAAAAAAAACACATGCACAATGAGAGAGTAAAGGGTTTTACACCTGGACTAGCTTGTGTGCTTGCCGATTTTAAGGGGTTCTGCAGGTAGAGACGCAGGCTCCGAGTATTCTAGCCTGCGAGCATGCTCTCTGGGTGAAAGAGAGCCTGCAAGGATCCCTATGATGATTGCGTGCCGCCTTTCAATTAGGATGTCACAGGTCAATTAACTCAACCAGTCAGCGCAGACCGGAAATACACTTAAATATTGTAAACATAAACCGATAAACGTTGAACCCATTTACATTGTACTTACATGAAAATAAGTAACGCATGTTGATTGGTTTAATAGCCAATTCTACCTAAGCCGCGTCATGATTGGTTTAAATTCTGAATTAATTTTATAATGTATGCTATGATTATATTATTCAATATACAACATGGCGGCGTCTAGTGACAAGCTTTCTTTTCCAATCGAGCGTTGGAATGACGCTCTTAAAAGTGTTTGTTCGACATTTAATTTCAAAGAACTATACCCTGAACAAAAGGAGGCTTTGGAAAACTACTTTAAGGGCCACCATGTGTATGTAAACCTACCGACAGCCTTCGGAAAGTCCCTGGTGTACCAAGCCGTGCCAATTATGTTTGACTCTCTAAATCGGCGACCGAAAGGTACAAGTATGATCGTTATCATTTCGCCTTTAAAGTCGTTAATGGAGGAGCAAGTAGCCTACCTAAACAGTTTGGGTATAGCAGCTGTTTGTATCACTGATGAAGCCAACGATCATGCA